CTCTTTCCTTCCTTCCTTCTTTCCTTCCTTCCTTCCTTCCTTCCTTCCTTCCTTCCTTCCTGTCTCTCTCTCTCTCTCTCTCTCTCTCTCTCTCTCTCTCTCTTTCTTTTTTCTTCTTTTTGAGACAGGATCTCACTATAAAGTTCAGGCTGGCCTTGAGCTCACTTTGTAACCCAGGCTGGTCGCAAACTCACAATGATCATTCTGCCCTAGACTCCTGAGTGCTATTACAGGTATGTACCACCACACTCAGCTGTTTCTCTTTTCTAAGGACCAACTTTTAGTTTCATTAATTTTTCTATATTTTTTTATTCTCTGTTTTATTTATCTCTGCTATAGTCTTTGTTATTTCATTTCCTCTGTTAGCTTTGAGTTATTTTGCTCTTTTTTAGTTTCTCTAGGGTATACATTTATGTTATTGACTTAAGAAATATTTTGTTTAGAAGTAGAAATGTTATTTCCTTTCTGACAACTTCTTTGGCCTTTTGGTTGTTTAAGATGTTGTTTAATTTCTACATATTTATAAGTGTTGGAGTTTTCTTTTTGTTATTGATTTTTTTAAATTTATGCATTTGTTACAGGGTCTTACTACGCAGCTCAGACTTGAAGTGATCCTCCTGTTTTCATCCTCCCCAACTCTGAGATTACAGGCATGCGCCCAGGGGCAGGGCCAATGTGGCATGTAGTGCTGGAGATCGAACCCAGGTCCCTGTATTTGCCTAGGCAGGTGCTTAGTCTGCTGAGCTATCTCGCTGGCCCTTGTTATTGGTTTCTAATTTCATTGTGTTGGAAAAGATATTAGATATTATTTAAGTCTTTTAGAAATGTTCTAGACATTTGTTGTAAGTTGACATATGGGAAATATTCCTGTGCAGTTAAAAGCAATGTATATATGTAATAAATGTCGTGACTAATTGTGGTTGGTGGTTTGTTTGTTTGTTTGTTTGTTTTGTTGTTTTTTGTGGTACTGGAGATTGGACTCAGGACTGTAGACTTGCCAGACAAGTCTAAGCTATTATTAAGCTGCTTATCTCACTGAGCTATTTCCCTGGCCCCCTAATTGGTTTATGATGTTGATCAGGTCTTTTCTTTCTTTATCTTCTATATGGTTGTTCTATCTTTAATTCAAAGTGAAATAGTTCAGCTTCCAACTATTATAGAACTATTTCTTCCTTAAGTTCTTTTTGTGTCTGCTTCATGTGATTTGGGACTTTGTTATTAGATATGCATGTATTTTAACATTCTTTCTTGATGAATTGAATCTTTTATTATATATATTGGTTTGTCTCTTTTAATCTTTTTTATTAAAAATCTACTTTTTTTTCTGATAGCAATACAACTATCCCAACTCTTTTGATTACCATTTGAATGGATTATTTTTTTTTCTGTCCTTTTATTCTCAACATCTTTGTCCTTTTGTATTTAAAATGAATGTTTTGTAGGCAGCATATAAGTATATGGTGTTCTGTCCATATACTTATGGCCATGGTATTCTATCCACTTCCTCGGTGTCTTCTTGTTTGTTGTAGAGTTTGAGCCATCTACATTTAAAATAAGTGTAAATAGGGAAAGAGATTTGCCATCTATATTCTCTATGTCTTATAAGTCTTCATTCTTTAATTCTTACATTACTGCTCTTAAAAATTAGGTCTTGGTTTCTGTTTTGTTGTGTAGCATTTTATTCCCTTTATTTTACTGTATATGTTTCAGTTGTTTGTCTAGTGATCACTTCGGAGTTTACAATTAGAGTCTTAACCTTTTTTTAGATTACTTTCAATAAGACCAAACTAATTTTAATAGGAATATTCTCCTTTTTATTTTGAGACATGGTCTCCCCAAGTCACCAGGTTGCCCATGGATAGGCTCCATTTCTGGTAGGAAACATACTTCAGTAACAATTTCTCAGGTTTGTCTATCTAGAAGTCTTAATTTCTCTTTTATTTTTGAAGGATTGTTTTGCTGGATATAAAATTCCTAGTCGACAATTTGTTCTTTCTGCACTAACTCTGTCATCCTACTGTGTCTGGCCCTTCTGAGCTCTGATGAGAAATGAGCCATTAGGAGTATTGAGGATCTCTTGTAAGTGACAGATTGCTGCTTTTGCCTTGCTGCTTTCAGATTCCCTGTTTCTGTTTGACTGTAGTGTGTCTCAGTGAGACTGACTTTAGTTTTGTACTGCTTGGAGTTCCTTGGGCTTCTGGGGTAAGTAGCTTCATGTCTTTATGATCCTGGGAAAGGGATAGCCATTATTCAGGTACTTTCCTGAACTTCCCCTCTCTCTTCGCCTTCTGTAACTCCCAAGATGCATGAAGGTGGCCCACTGAGCACCACTTAAGATCTCTTAGACTGTGTTCACTTTTGTTCCTTTTTCTCTTTTCACTCCTCAAGCTTAATAATTTCAATTATAATACCTCAAGTTTGCTGGCTCTTATTTCTGCTAGGGCAAATGCTATTGAACTCCTCTAATGAACTTTTAAATTTCATTTATAATCTTCACCTCTTATATTTCTATTTAGTCTCTTATAATTTCTACCTGTTGATCTTCTCATTTTGTTCACATATCATTCTGGTTTCCTTTAGTGCTCTGTCCATGGTTTCCTTTACCTGTTCAAGCACATGTAGGACAATTTAAAGTGCAGTGTCTTGGCTTCCTCAGAGAAGCCAATTAAAATTAAAATTTTTATATCCTTCAAATGGACCATTCTTTTTTGTCTTATTTTCTTCAGATGTTAGTTCACTAAATTTCCTGTGTGTAGACTGTATATTAACCCTATCCATTAAGCTTTTAATTTTGATTATTATAATTTTTTGGCTGAAGAATTTCTACTTGTTTTTCCCACACCTGCAGTATCTTTAAAAAAAAAAAATCCAACTCTACCAAAATTTTCAATCTTGCTTCTTCACATAGTACTTTCTAGTTTTTCTTTCTATTATTTTTTTCTGTTATACCTCTTTTTTCTTCTGAGCTCTTGATTTTACATTACATACAGGACGTTGTATTTGAAAGTTAATTTGCCAAAAAGAATTTGAGGCCTAATGTAAGTGTCTCATTATTGTTCTCACTTGCATTTGAGCAGTTCTTTACATTCTTCACAGCCAACTCAGCATATTGTCTGGTCAATGATATTAACCACTTAAAAGCTGGTTTATCTTTTTATTGTTGATTTGTGGTAGTTCTTATATCTCTTGTCGCAGACCTTATAGATATGTCCTACCAATATGTGGCTTTCCCCTCACTTCTTTAATAGTGAAAGTGATGTTGCAGAAGTTTTATTATTTTTTTCTAGAACCTTCATAGCTTTAATTATTACACTGAGGCCTGTGAGCCGTCACAGTTAACTGGTGTGTGGCTTGGCATAGGATCAGCCAGGGTGTCTTCCCGTGTGCATGGCAGCTTGTGCTAGCATCATCCTTTCTCAGATGAACTGTTCCGAAGCAGACAGGTGTGTGTCCAGTGACTGCATATGAGGGTGTGTGTTTCTTTTGTTCTCTTTACCTGTCTTTCTTAGAATAGTCACTCTCTTATTACTGTAGCTTTACAATAATATTTGGTAGTGCCAAGCTAGTACTGTTGGACCTTTCCAAGATTTTCTTAGATCTTTAATGCTGCATATTATCCAGAAGCTATATATATCTAGATATATATAGATATCTAGATAGATATCTAGATAGATAGATAGATAGATAGATAGATAGATAGATAGATAGATCGATAGATAGATCGATAGATAGATCAATAGATCGATCAGATAACCTCACTGCGATTTGATCGGAAAAGTGTTAAGTCTGATCAGCAGGGTAAAATTTGGCATATAAATGATAGTGCATGCTCCTGGGAGTTTCTCCCCATTTATTTACACTGTTTTTATTTCTCATCAGTGTAAAGATGTTATACATCTTTCATTAAATTTATCTATTGATTAGTTATTGATACTAAATTGCATTGTTCTTTCAATTTCATTTTCTATGTGTATGTTACTGATATACAGAAATGTGATTAGTCTTTTCTACCTTGTAGCCTGCACTTCTGTTAAATTTGTGCATTAAAGAAATAATTTTGGCCATTCTTGTGGGGTTTTCTCTGTGTGTTGTCTTGTCATCTATAGATAAGGACAGTTTTGCTTTCTTCACTGCCTGGGGAGGGGTGCTACTGGTAGCTTCGACTAGAAGCAAGAAGAACAGGGAATCATTTGGTCTTCACCTTCTGCAAGGCTCAGCTGCTGGCCCCTTGAGGCCCTCTGCAGGTAGAAGGTGTAGCTGAGTGAGCCTTCTTGAGAGGTAGACTTTGGCAGGTTCCCTCCTTGTGTCCATGCAGAGTACCACATGTGTGTTCTCCTGCCACAGCCCAGTCCTCTGATGGGGCTTTTACTGCACAATGTGGGGTGGTTCCCAATGGGGCAGTAGCCTGGCATTCCCGGGGCAAACCCCAGTTATGGTTGCTGGTTAATTAGCCAGCATTTTGTTCAGGTGGTTGAAGACTGTACGCCTTTGATGCCTTTGCTGTCAATCGCCCTGCAGGTTTTTGTATAGTGCAGCTTGTGTAGGCCCTCACTGCCTTTCCTTGTCCTTCAGACCCCTCCCTACACACTTGTCTGGCCCTGCACAGGGGCATCCGCCCACACATGGCTCCTGTGCTATTCTCAACACTCATCATTTCACAGTATGATCAGAGGAGACACTGGTGCCGGCTGCAGAGAGGGGTGGGATGCTTCATATACCCAGAGGTGGCCAGGCCCTATGAGTTCTGCCCCAGTGCTCACTCTGGGCCATGGGCATCTTGAGCCTGTGGCCAAGAGGTGACCAGGCTGGAGCTTTCAGGTGCAAGCTAGGGAAGACTGCTGTTTCCCAGCCTGCACTGTCATTTCAGTGTTAGCCTTGGGGGTGCCTGTCTTTGGGACCACTTTGTCCTGAGGATGGGGAAAGTCCAGGGACTCGGGCATGAGAGAAGGCCAGCCGATTACAGCCCCACATGCCTTCCTTTTCTTGTCTGTGTCTTCTAGATGACCATGCCTCGAGCAGGAGTGGGGACGCCATATCTGGCCCCAGCACCTGGCCCTTTGTCCACCGCAGCCATTCCTGGAGCCATCCCAGCCCTGCCTGTGTCCACACCAGGTACTGTCCATTCCAGCCTCCCAAGTCCACCCTGTGCACTTCTCCTGGGTCACTATGGAGGTGTGTGCCCAGCTCCAGTGCCCTGGGGGCCCTGGGCAGCCCAGGGAAGCCTGCCAGGAGTTTGGGGCAGCTGGACCCCTGTGCAGGTACCTGTGCTGCCTGTGTTCCTGCGACCGCCTGCTGTCAGCATCCCCAGTCACCAGCTGCATATCACGTAGCCCAGTGCAATCATGGGTTGGCCTCTGCATGCCTCTTGGCCATGGGGCGCAGTGGCTACAGGGCTCAGCAGCCATGAGGCAGCATGGACCTCAGCACAAGCTTCCCCTACTGCCTAAGACCACCCTGACGATCTTAGCTCCCATAGTCTGCACACCTCTGTCCTCAGCTGGAGGTTAGAACCTTACCCTGTAGAACTGCAGTATCTTGAATTCCAGCTTTCTGTTCCCTCATGGAAGTGTTTTTTAAAAAATCAGAAAAGGTCTTATTTCATGCACAGTTGACTTTGCTTTAATGTCTGTACTGTGATCAGTTACAGAGATCTGAATGGTTTACAAAGCTGAAGCTAAAGTCTGATCTTCAGTTTTCCGTTGTGAATGCCTTTTTAGAAACAAAGGAAATTGAACCAGTGCTCTTACATACTGAGGAGCTCACTGATAGATGAACTGGGCTTTGGTCTCAGGGGAGCGAGAGCTTCCCTGGGCTTATCAGTGACTTGAGAGGCCCTCTGGGCAGGGAGTGTGTGCAGTAAGGAGCAGCAGCAGCCTTGTTTCACTGTAAGGGACCTGCCAGAAAATGCCACGAGAGCAGATGACCAGGTGGTGGCAGGCTACTGGGGCGCCTTGCATAGATGTGCCCTGCCCCCTCCACTCAGGGGCCTCCCACCCGTTGCCTTCCTTATCCATGACCTCTGTGGGGGCCCACCTGGCCCTGTAGTTCCCTCTTGAGGTCACACTGCTGAGGGCAGGATGCTTCTGCAGTTTCCATGGGTGCCTCCCCTGTGGGCACAGAACAGCCCTAGGTGGAAGTGACGGCCCCCACTGTGCACTATACATCTTGTACTTATTGGACCAACTAGATTATTTTAGTTTTAATATTCTGTCCACCTACCTGTTCAGTTAGAAATGAATTTAACAGGAAGCTATTCAGGATCCTCTGCCAGGCATCCACTGCTATAAGGGATTTCTTATTGTGGCTTATTGTGCTCTGTGCCTGGTCCGAGAACCATGTGGGCCTATTTCTGGGTGAACCAGAGGTGGCCCTCTCCCCTGCTCTGCACGCCTCTGTCGTTTCCTCCCACGATAACAGTAGTGGCACGGGATCCCCAAGAGATTGTGTATGTGAAGGTGAAAAAATAAACATTTTTGCTTGAAAACACTGTGAAACATCATTTTCTTACCCTCTGTCCACATAAAAGCCAGGCTGGCTTGTCCTGGGTTCTGCTCTGAGCCTGGAGTGGGCCGAACCCCCTGGGCGAGAACTCTAATGGGACCAGGGATCGAGCACAGGGTCTCCAGTGGGGCTGTCTGTCCCCCAGCACTGTACCTGCAGGGTGTGACCTGGGTGCCCAGGATGCCAGGCTTCGCCAGCCCCTGTGCCTGAGTTACTTTTACAAGTTCAGATAAAGGGGTGAGCCTCACAGTCATGTTGACTGCATCGGCGCCCTGCCCCTGTGGGTGGTGGTTCCACATGCTGGGTATACATGACTCCTGGCAGGCCAGGACTGGGCAAGCAGTCCCCTCTTTCGGATTCTTACCTAAAGGAAGACTTGGAGCTGTGGTTACCAGGAGTCACATGAAGGGTGCTGGGCACAGGGCTGTAGGGAAGGTGGTGGTTTGGAGAAAGGATCTCCTCATGTGGTACCTGAGCTGCTTTCTCTTGCATGTGCACTGTAGGCCTGGCCCTGACCACTCTGAGGTCTACAGTCCGCTGGGCCCCTGGAGCTGGGGATGGCTGCCTCTGTGGCCTTGCTGCCTTCCTGTTAAGATGCAGCCGCCTCCTTCACAACTCTGGAAGGACATTCCACCCCACCATAGCCAGCACACAACCCCACGGCTACCTCATGGTGCCTTACCTTGGCTCTGCCTTCAGGAGGGAGGCGGGAGAAATTTGTGATCTTTGGTCCCTCCTAGCTACCCAGGGATCCAGAGGATAGCTTACTGCCAGGTTCTCTGGTTTTGTGGTCATTTTGCATGCCTGGGTGTCACGGAGAGGAAGATGGCCAGATAACAGGCTGGTGGGCTCTGTGCTGAGGGCAGGACTTACTAAAGGGTGTGGTCACTGAGACTGGCCCAGCTCCCAGGAAAGTGGGCCAGGTGCCCAGGCAGGATGCACGAGGGCACTGGGCTCAGGCCCGGGAGGGGCTGCACCCTGGCAGCCCATAACAAGCGAGCTGTGGTGGTTTTGTTTTCCAGATCCTGAGAGCGAGAAACCTGACTGACAGGCACAGATACCACCAAGCCCATGTCGCACCATCCAGCGGCGCTGTGACAGACCTTCCGGGCCAGCCCCTCCTCGAGTCCACTTCACACTGTTTTGTAACCACTTTCTAAGCATTTTTTATTCACAATTGGAAACACAAATGTAATGCAAGAATAAAAAATATTTTGGGGGAGAAAGGACTTGGTTTTTCAAATTTTCTCCTTTCTGGTGGCCCCCAGGCAGGCAGGTGATACAAATGTGAGGGTGTGGGGCAGGGGACATGACCAGAAGCCTTCCTGTCCAGGATGGCCTGTCCTCTGCAGGGCCTTGGGGCTCATCCCCAAGCCACCTTCCAGGCACAAAGTCCGGGTCCCCTTCACTCACACAGCTCTGTGACCTTCCATCTTCTGTCCAGTCTTCAGAGACCAAAGTTACCCACCCATCTACACAGCAGCATCTGTGGAAACTTGAAATAACTCTCCTTCCAGAATTCATGTACACTGCCAGCCAGGTGGGGTCTGAGACCTCTTGGGGATGCAGGACAGGTCCACCAGCTCCATGGTGGGCACACCCCCTCCCCGCATGGTGGGAGGCATCCAAAGTGTAGCAGGGAAAGCTGCAAGTAGTTCTGGCAGGAAACGCGCAGTGGAGATGTCTGGAATCTGGCCTGGATGCAGGAATGACATCTGGGCTGTGATTCTTGGAGTCACATGCATCAGAATGCTTACTCATCTCTAGCTGCACTTTCGCTTTTCCTCCAGTGATGGATGGGTTTTAGCAGCGCCTACTGCTATGACATTAAGATGGTTGTTAACATCCCCAAATGGCATTTCTATCATAATAGAATTCTCAGCCTGTGGAATTAAAGAGCATCATTTAATGGTCTGGTCAGTTCTCTAGGACGTGAGAATACCCAGTGAAGTTTGGTGAATTGAGTATTGTGAAGGTTTCTGAGTACCAGAGATTATATTGGTTTACAGATTTGATTCCAAGGTTCTGGTCATAAACCTAGTTGGATGAGAATCAAATAAAATTCAGCGGTTCAGTTCAATGTTGACCTCGTGGGGAGTGACAGGTCTTGTCTTGGTTCTTACCTAGTTCAGTTTGGGACCAGAATCTCGGAGGGAACTGAGTTCATGAAGCCAAGTACCACTACTGTATCTCTAATGAGGTTTCCAGCTTATCGCTTTGTGCCTTTGTCCTGGAGCCAAGCCTTGACCTTGAAAACAGTAACAGTATTTTAGCTCAGTCTGCCATACAAGGTACCATAGAATGGTTCACTTAGAAGAAATTTATTTCTCACAGTTCTAGAAACTGGGAAGCCCCAGATGAAGATATGCAAGATAGGTTTTAGTCTGAGGGCCATTAGTGTTGAGGTAGCCACCATCTTGCTGTGTGTTTTGTGACTTTGCACAGATTTGGCTTTGATAGGTAGGGAGTGCGAGGGAGAGCAGAAACAAGAATCATCTGCAGCAGAGAACAGAGGAAGAAGCCACCTGCTTATCCTGAGCCACACGTAGGCTCAGGATATGGGGTGCAGCAGTGCTTCACAGCCCGAAGTCATCAGAAGCATGGACTCCGCAGGACACTGGCTGGTGGCTTCCACACCTGGCCAGGAGTGCAAGGGCAGTTGGCCAAAGGAGTGCCAGGGGCTATAGAGCACTTGGTTTGAAACTCAGAACCACAGCAAACAGATGAGATCAATAAAAAATAGCGAAGTATTAACACTTAAACCTGTTAGTTGGGGCTGGGAAGATGGCCCAGTGGAATAAGCACTTCCCTGGCAAGCGCAAGGGCCTGAGTTCAATCCCCAGTTCTACCAAAAAAAACCCAAAAAACAAAACAAAAGACAAAAAAGCCCAATCTGTTAGTTACTTATAAGTGGTCTAATCATTTAAAAGAAGTTGTCAGAGCAAACCTAGTAAACAGCACCAAGGCTCAGATATACATTGCCTGCAGTAAGCACTAAATATAAAGACATGTAGACATGGACACAAATAAGCCATCATAATTTTAACCAATGGAAAGTGGAGTGGCTCTATTAATACTGAATAATAATTACTTCATAATGACAAAGAGGTCACTTAACAAGAAAACATGTATAAACATTTGTGTACCTAACAACATCAAAATAAAGGAAGCAGAACTACAAAAAACTGCAGATAGGTCCACATCCCCTATAAGCGGCATTGCGAGTAAAGAGACAACCATGGTAGCCAAGAGTCTTGCTTCAATTTTTTTTTTTTTTTTGTCTTTTGTGGTGCTGGGGTTTGAACCAGTGTCTATGCATGTGAAGCATATGCTGTACCTATGAGCTATGTCCCCAACTCCTGTGACTCCAATTTTCAATGCTTGAGTGCTGACAGCTTTGAAGCATCATCTCTCTTCCCATTCTCTTCCACACGGGGAAGCTGAGGAGAAAGGCTGAGTGCTCCATCATTAGCACCCCTCCATGGAATACATCAAACCAGACCGCCCCCACCCATACCCAGGTACCTTCAACCTGCCCTACCCCTTGGCCTCCGTGCAAACCCCAAGCCAGTCTCCTTTCCCCGGTCCCTCAGTCCACTTTGGATCTGCTTGGAAGCTGTCATCCCCTCAGAAGTTTCATTGTTAACCTTTTCATCGTGTGTGTGTGTGTGTGTGTGTGTGTGTGTGTGTGTGTGTCCATTAGTCTCAACATCCAAACCACATTTGGGGTAGAGACCCATCGTGTTTCTGCAGAGTAACCACAACAGTCACTGAGAACATAGACTACTGGAACATCACTATTGACCAGTTGGCTGGCTTGAAATTTGGTCTGTGCAGATAGACCATGTTCTGGAAAAGAAAAATGAGTTACAATGTTCTCTCTCTCTCTCTCTCTCTCTCTCTCTCTCTCTCTCTCTATTTATTTATTTATTTATTTTTGGTGCCAAGGATCAAACTCAGGACCTTAAATTAATGCTTGCCAGGCAGGCACTTACACCACTGAGCTGTCTCCCCAGCACAAGGATTCAGGTTGCATAACATTCTCTGACCAAAGTAGGATTAAATTTGAGATCAATAATACTTCATGAGAAAATACTTAAATACTTGGAAATACAGTTACCCATGGATTAAAGAAGAAATCAAAAGAGATACTAGAAAATAAGTTTGAAAATGAAAACAAGACCTATCAAATTTCATTAAATACTGTTAAAGCAGTTGAAGTAGTGGGGGACTAGTGTAGCCCAAGAGTGTATCACTAGGAAAGAAGAAATGTTAAACCAGACGTGGCATCATGGTCACATGCATGCCAGGCAGCTTAAAGGTAGGACAGCTGTAAATGAAGAGAAACTGACAGCATTTAAAGTTCACCACAAAGGGCTGGCGAGATAGCTCACTGGACTAAACGCTTGCTTTGGCAAGCGTGGGGACCAGGGTTCAATCTCCGGTCCCAAATGCCACGCCGGACTTGCCACCAGGGCACACTGAGCTGGTGACTAAGTTGTGTGTGGTGATGTATGCCTGTAATCCCAGTGCTGGGGAGGCTGAAAAAAAAAGGATCACTATGAGTCTGAGCTGTGTGGTGAGACCCTGTACCAAATACATACTGGAGAAAGGAAAAAAAAAAACAAAAAACAGTTTATTGCAAGCGCCGCACGCAGTGAGAGGAGGCAGTGGAAACTCAAGTGACTTGGCTGGGTCTCCATGGGGCATTGGGGACCACAGTCATTGCCGGCCACTTCAGCAGGTCTTGTGTGGTTGTTTCTAAGGTGTATTCTTTAAAAAGCAAGCTACCCAATTCTTTTTCAAACAAGAATAGAATGATACAAACTTAGGGTGCAGACAACGTCAGAATTGTGTGCAAAGAATATTAGGATGACCCCATGAAACTGGTAGCTCCTGTAAAGGCCTGTGCACACCCTTTGGGGCCTGGGAATGATGCCTAGGTACCG